TTCACGCTCCGTCGTCCGCTGTAGCAGTGCATCTCAAACTATCTGGGTGAAGGACCACTTTTTCTTTTACTTCTAGTTACACACAAAATGCAAGCCCTGACTTTTTATTCTTAGATTCAACAGACAGAAAATTATTCCATCAGCAGATGTTTCTAAACGCTTCCTCTCAATTTCTATACTTATCACAAACCAGTAACTGTGTGTGGACCAGCACAGACCACACACTGTTTATTCAAAATTGACATTCTTATTTTATAGGCATTGAATTTGAAATGTAACAAGGTCCACCCACACCTCCACCCACAGTTCTAGAAAGTAAGCATTTTTAAAAAAAGGCTAATTCCACAATATGTACGTATTTCAAAACATATTTTTACTCCATAAATATATACAATGTTTATTAGTCAATCAAAAGAATACTCAGCACTTTGTGGGGGGCCAAGACAGGTGGATCACTTGAGGTCAGGAGTTCAAGACCAGCTTGGCCAACATGATGAAACCCCATCTCTACTAAAAATACAAAAATTAGCTGGGCGTGGTGGTGCATACCTGTAATCTTACTCGGGAGGCTGAGGCAGAATCTCTTGAACCTGGGAGGCAGAGGTTGCAGTGAGCTAAGATCGTGCCACTGCATTCCAGCCTGGGAAACAGAGCGAGTGAGACTCTATCTCAAAAATAAATAAATGAATAAAGTTTAGGCCGGGTGCAGTGGCTCATGACTATAATCCCAGCACCATGGGAGACCAAGGTGGGAGGATTGCTTGAGCCCAGGTGTTCAAGACCAGCGTGGGCAACAAACATAGGGAGACCCCATCTCTTCAAAAAATAAAAATAAATGAGCTGGGCACCGTGGTGCATTCCTGTGGCCCCAGCTACTCAGGGGGCTGAAGTGGGAGGATCACTTGAGCCTGGGAGGCTGAGGCTGCAGTGAGCTGTGATTATGTCACCACACTCCAGCCTGGGTAACAGAGTGAGATTCTGTCTCAAAAAAAGATTTTAAAATAAAAATAAATACATTTTAAATAAAGATTAATATCACAGAGAAAAGTGGACATCTGCGACCCTCAACAAATTAGGGGTTTTTCTGTTGTTTTTGTTATTGTTGTTCTACTCATTTTCTCAAACAAATTACAGGGCCTACTAGTTTCAAACCTGTTTTATAAGCAATCATCAGTTCATGATTATGGTGAAAAAAAAAACCCTATAATAAAGTGTCTTACTGTGTCTGTTTAGCACAGATAATAGGAACATGGGCTCTCAAGTGAGAGGAAATGAGGATGGATTTCCCACTCCGCCACTCCCGGCTATGTGGCTCTGGGTCAGTAACTCGAGGAACCATCTTCTTTGTCCATAAAACAGAGAAAATGATAGGCTCTGCCTCACAGGGTTACTGTGAGATGAAGGGAGGCTGAATATGAAGAGGTAGTTAATAGTGAGTGATGCCCACTCAGTGCTCGATATACACCAGCCACATTGGCCACAAATTCGGCAAATGCCATCCCTCCCATATAAAATGAAATGGCCCTCAGCACAGCTGCTTCGCCTTCACCCCTCCCTCCCTCCCTCCCTTCCTTCCTTCCCTTCCTTCCTTCCTTCCTTCCTTCCTTCCTTCCTTCCTTCCCTCCCTCCCTCCCTCCCTCCCTCCCTCCCTTCCTTCTTTCTTTTTTTTTTTTGAGACTGAGTCCCACTCTGTCGCCCAGGGTGGAGTGCAGGGGCACCATCTGGGCTCACCGCAACCTACACCTCCCTAATAAAGTCATTCTCATGTCTCAGCCTCCCAAGTAGCTGGGATTACAGACATGCACCACCATGCCCAGCTAATTTTTGTATTTTTAGTAGAGACGGGGTCTCACTATGTTGGCCAGACTGGTCTTGAACTCCTGGCCTCAAGTGATCCATCCACTTTGGTCTCCCAAAGTACTGGGGTGAGCCACCACGCCCAGCCCAGGACAGCTTCCTGAGAGCAGGCCACCCTTGTGTCTTGACTTGGAGCTGCAGGAGAGTTCCAGGGCCCTGCAGACTCAGAGGACTATGTCTCCATTGCAGTCAAGCAGGAAGAGTTGAAAGTGGTGAGCACAGGCTGGAGGTGTAGGAGCTGACTCTGCCCCCAAACCCCTATGAGGACAGACACTTATCAAAAGCTGTCATTACCATCACCTTACACAGCTTTGCTTCAGCTAAAACCAAAAGGCTCTTTGAACTCAGTTTACTGACAGCATAAGCTGGGCAGGTTTTGGCTTATCACATGGACATTTGGGGATCTACATGTCAGATACATCCCTGGTTCTGTCTCTTGACAGTATGGGCCTGAAGCCAGTCATTCACACTTCTGCTTTGGGTGCCCTCAGTGACAGGGGGGTTATTAATATGCTGCCTCCCTCGCTGGGAGGTGGGAAAGCCCAGCTAACAATAGTTCTCATCAATAATGATGAGAATAACTGGGCAAAATATGGTCACCAGTAAAGAGTGGGGGGAAAATCCATAGAAAGATTGTTCTTTTTCACCTGGCACTTGTTTCCCACTGTACAGTATAAACCCTTTGAATACAAACCATGTACTTTTAATGCTTATACCATGAAGCTCCAAGTGCTGTCAGTGTTCACTACACAGAAAGTAATAATGAAGATTTGGGGAGCCTTAGGGATCCTTTCCAGCTCTTGGAAAGCTCCTACTGCAAGCCCTTGTCATGCTGAAGAAGTGAGTTTCAAGTCTTTGTTTGCCGCTAGCATCACCTGCAGGGCCTGCCCCAGTTGACATCACTGGCCCGTACCTTTTAGGTTTTGCCTCAGTATCTCCCTTCCACCCTAGGCTTTCACTAGTGATTTGTCCTTCCTTTCCCTGCTGTGTGTGTGCTTGTTTGTAAATCCTCCCCTGATCTCCAGACCTCTGGCCTCAGGCACACCACTCGTCCAGCACTGCGAGGTTCCCAGGCCCGTCTCATTTCCACATCCTTTCCCCAGCTCCAAACACGCTGCTGGTTTCCTTGCACCAAGAATTTAAGGAGAACCTGAGTTCCCCTTAAATTCTGCCCATTGGGAGCCCTCACCTCTTATTTCTTCCTGCTTCAAATCTTCTTTGGGGTTACTTTGTGAGTCAGTCAACCTTCTGGAAAATTCTCTGGATGGAACTGAACGGAAGACTTTCCACATTCAAAGAATTTCAGGTTAGAAAGGCACATCAGAAGTCAATTCCCATCTGAGCATTGAATGTTCCCTCCAGGATCGACATCAACATAGCTTTGATCTCCCTTACGGACACAAATCTCACTCTCTCCTGAAGCCATTGGAATTGCAAGTTCTTCATTCTAAGCTGGGAGGTCCGTCTCCTCCTCATTATTTAGCCTTTGCCTACATACCTGGCTGCTCTACTGAACCAACCAAGTCTCCATTTATACAATAGCCTGAGAGATAGCTGAGGGCATCCATGATGTACCCCAGAGTCCTTCTCTTCTCCAAACTGAACCTGCCATGCCATATGGCTTCTCGGTCAGCCTCCTTTGGACACATTCTAATAACCTCCTAGGAGCTTGTGTGCTTGTGACATGTCCTCATAACTGTTCCCTCTCTTCATTCTCTCCCTAAACGGCATGGACATGACCTCCCAGTGAGCTTGGACTCCCTGCTTCATGGTCTGGGACAATAAAGAGATTCACGTCCAGACAGGGCTAACACAATGGTCCCCACTGTTGCGTGGCCAGCCTGTGCATATTTCCTGTTACTTCCCACACATTCAAGTTGTCCCAAGTGTTCACAGGACAATAATCACAGCACCAAAGTACAGTGAAGACCCTCAAAGCCGGTCTTCCAACAAGCCCCGTGTGCTGCCTTTAGGGTCCCATCATCCAGGGTCTTAGCCCTCTGACCTTCTCTGCCTTGCCGCTGTCCTAATCAGAGCCCCTTCCCCACATTTGTGTTCTGGATGTTACCATTCATAAAGATAACAAGCAAAGCCACACAATATTCCTTCTTACTGAAATAGTAGTAACCATTTCTACAGTACTTTACAATTTATCACCACCTTATTTTAGTCTTCAGAGCGACACTGCAGAGTAGGTATTATCCTCATTTTATAGATGGAGAAACTGAGGCAGAACTGCCACTTGAACCCAAAGGGTCTTGTGATTTCATATCTGATGCTATCGTATTTATTCTACGTCCTATTTACTCAGGAGCTTGCAAATCTTAGGCGGAGAAAGTTTTCTAAGGTTCAGTTCTAGGCATCAAATTAAAACATGAGTTATACAGAAAAATGTAGAGGAATCTGGTTTCTATTTCTGGCTGTGCTATAAACTCACTCCTAGTTGAACCTTCCTGGTCCTTGGTTTCCTCGTTCATAAATAAGGAGATGGAACCAGACAATTCCTGAAGTCCCTTCCTGCTCAGCTGTCCTTCGTCTCCCGCCCCGTCTCTGCCATGTTGCTAAAATTAGGCAGAAAACATTGTTGAAATACTTTTCTTTTTCGTTTCTTGTATTTTTAAAGTTCCCAAGATTAGCTGGATAGTATTTGATAACGCTCTGGCTAATCTGTCAAGAAGGGGGGAAAAAACCCGCCATCCATTTAATAGCTTTTAAGCAGTTCGATTTCTGTAACGAGAAGATAAATCTGGAAACCCCCGCCAGAAGAATGCCTCTCCAAAGTCCTTGTGCTGAGGAGGACCATCTGCAGAGCCGCACATCAAGAGAGCCGCGGTTATCAACCCCGGGGTTTCCGACAATGTCTGCAGACATTTGGTATTCACGACATGAGGAGGGTACTATGGGCACACATCAAGGGGTACAGGCCACGGATGCTGCAGCCCTCCTATAACACACAGGACAGCCCCCACCACAGTCAGCTGGCCCAAGATGTCAAAGTGCCAGGGTTGAAAAACCCTGTTTTAATGAATGATGTCACAGAATGGCCCCAAACTCCTCCTAGTGTTTCAGCTGAGCTAGTCCATGTGAGAGGTTAACCAGGTGGGCTCGTCGGAAAGAACCAAGGATCTGAACAGCTCTCCTACCGTGCAAAGAAGGAGGCGGCCACCGACGTGCCTGTGGAAGTCTCGCTGGCCACGCAGGAGCCCTGGGAGGCTGGGACGCCGTAGGCGGAAGGCTTGTCTGCATTGTAGCGGTTCAGCACTGCTTCTGTCAGCCCCTCCCGGCCACTCTCTGTCATCAGCTGGGAGATCTGACAAAGAAAATGGATACGGAGCTCATTACCTGTGGCTCACTGCACTTCCTGACCACTGACAGCATCTCTCTATTTGGGGGAGGGAGGCAAGAGGGAACAGGTTTCCATCCCACCCGCATTCAGTTACACATGGGTGCTTAGGGCTACTAGAAGGCTGTTTTCCAGCATTTTAGCTAGATACTTCCCCATTTTCATTAAAAATAATGGTATAAAATTATCCCCTGACATTGTAAGTTTCAATTATGTCTGTGTCTTCCCTCCATTTGGAGGGGAAAACATGAACCATTATCCATGCACTCTTTGCAGCCCAAGACGAGAACAGTAACATTAACTAATGCTGACTTCTTACCAGGAATAGCCCCGAATGCTCTGAAAGGGAGGAGTGTGGCAAAGGCATAGTTTCATTAAGGGAGAAGTAAGCCTGCTCATAAAGAACATAAGGAATCAAAATACAACAGTATTTGGTGGGGTGTTGGTGGTGATTTGCTGTGGAAAGTTAATAAAGCAGGCAACACAGAGAAACTAATAAAAATAAATATAGCCACAATGAATTACCAATTTTTTTTGAAGGGTTGAGATCATTTAAACAGACTTCATTTCCCTGCTGGTTCATTAAGATAAATGACTTCTGTTTTATTTGAAATGATTGCCTTTATAATGAAAGTTCTAGTGGAAGGAGCTGGGTCCATTTTGCCTAAATCTACATAATAAGCTGTGAAGAACCAAACTTTGGGGCAAAACAAGGATCTTATGTAGAAATATACTTTGGGGCCGGGCGCGGTGGCTCACGCCTGTAATCCCAGCACTTTGGGAGGCCGAGATGGGCGGATCACAAGGTCAGGAGATCGAGACCATCCTGGCTAACACGGTGAAACCCCGTCTCTACTAAAAAAAAAAAACAAAAACACTAGCCGGACGTGGTGGCGGTGCCTGTAGTCCCAGCTACTCGGGAGGCTGAGGCAGGAGAATGGCGTGAACCCGGGAGGCAGAGCTTGCAGTGAGCCAAGATGGTGCCACTACACTCCAGCCTGGGCGACAGAGCAAGACTCCGTCTCAAAAAAAGAATATATATATATATATACACACACACACACACACACACACACACTTTGGAAAAGTGCTAAACCACACGGCAAATACAATAATTATGCAGGCAGAGTCTAAGTATTTGGAAAACCTGTTACTTTAAATCTTCAGTCTACTTGCAAAAAAAAGAAAAATGTTAGTTTTTTAAAAAAAGAGGAAACTTTAGTTCAAAAAGTCACCAGTCTATTCAAACCCTTAAATGCTAAGTGGAAAATGTTTCCAATCACCTACTAAATACAAGTGCAGTAAAGCAAAGATCCGGAACAGTTTCCACTTTGTAACTGAGTAGGCCAGCGAGCCCTAAGAGCAGCGCATTTGTGAACCTTTAAAAGTAAAAACATTTGTACTTTTCATTATTAGCAGAATAGCCATTACTCTGAGTCCCATTGACTGGGAACTTTGCTCCACTGAAATTCATGCTCTTACTTGGAAAGCCTTGGCATTATTCAACGGAAATTCTGCCAGCACACACTTTCTTATTCTCATTCATTCAACGCATTGTAAGGAAACTTGACCCAAGTGAGAGAAACTGGAGACAAGGCTGCAAAGGCAGCTGCTGGCCCAGAGGACATTCCTGCTGACTGAGCAGAGAGCGTGCAGAGCCTCTCCTCGGGCTTCCTTTGCTGCTGTGGGGTGCGGGCTCCCATCCACTGGCTGCTACTGTCCCTGCGGAACGGGGCCCCAGCCTGGAGGGTGCAGCTGAGACAACTGGAAAGCTGAGGACACGCGATGCACACCGTCATCCCCACTCAATAGTATTGATGAAGCTCCAGGGGGTGCATCATGCCTCCTGGACCATGTCCAAAGACAAAACAAAACTCCCAAATTCATGGGACTTTTTTTCCCCCAAGAATCTAAGACATACATCTGATTTTTTACACATGGTGACATGTGAAACAAGCCAGTCTGCTTGGGTTGTTTCCTTTCGTTACTGTATTTCTCATCTAAAATTTGGAGGGAAGGGATTCCTTATGCATAAACTGTCTTGCAGGTGCCCTGCAAAGCCAGAAAGAAGCCGCTGGAACGCATGTGGCGAATGGCAGGATGCCTGACACACAGTCACAGCTTTCTGGGTGGGTCCAGATTCCCACATCTGCTCCAGAAGGGATGTGAGCAACCTGTGGGTTCACAGCTTTCGAAAATGTCACCAGGCAGATGAATTTCAACGCACGAGCTTCCTGACTAGAGAGCTACTGGCTGTCTTGTGCCAAGCAAGATTGTTTCTCTTACTTTTAAAGAATCGGGGATTAGTGGGCATGAGACACTGAATTCCCAAGGCTATAAATAGAACTATTCAATCATCAACTGTTTTCAAAAATTAGGATCACAGAATGTTCTAGAGCTAGAAGAGATTTCCAACATCATCATCGTCAAAACTCTTCTCCTTAGATAAGACACCTGAAGACCAGAGAAGCGATTTGCCCAAGCCAATCTGTATCTAGGAGCAGTACCCTGACTCCTAAACCATTTCTAGCACCTACCTCCTTCCTCTAACTGCCCCTCTTCTAATTTAAAAAAAAAAAAAAGTCTTCCCCTTCTAATTAAAAAATGTGATATATAGAAAAAAAAATCAAACAATAAAACATACACATGTATCCACTACCACCATTCACAAATGTTAGCATTTTTTACCTTAGAAAATATTTTCTCAAAGAAACCAAATAGTATGTAAAATTAAAATTGCACATCTTCCTAGTCACGCTGCCTTTCCTGCCCCATGTTTCAGACACAGCCAGTATCACGACAGGGCGGGGGCAGGTCCATGTTCTTATTTTTCATGGTGAGTGCTTCCCATCACACTCTCTCCCTCCTTAGAACCTGACAGCTCATTTTTTTGGTTTCTTTTGTGCATTCTTTAGATTTTGTTCTGCTGGTTCCACAATGGGGAGACGGCATCCCTCCAAATGCCTACTCTATAGACTCTCACCACCTAAAAGATCATGTTCTCATTTGTATTTATGCCTAGTATCCTCTTCAGAGATTACAGACTTTCAGAAATAACAGGCCATGATCTGGCTACAGCAACTGCTAATTTACCTCGCCCTCAGTCTCACACTCCAGGGCTCCAGCCTCCGGCAAGGTCCTCAAACCCACCTCCTGCTCCTTCCGCCGTGGGGCCTTTGCCCTCCATGTGAAACGCTCCTACTTTTCCTGCAGATGTAAGCTCAAGCCTCACTTCCTCCGAGAAGCCTTCTTCCAGCCCATGCTTCCTCGGCTGGATGCTTTTACAGCACCTCAATCTCTTCCCTCAGCATCTCCGCTTTGGTTCATATTATGCATTTATTAGTAAGTCATTTTCTCCCACTACACAAAAGCCCCAGGTCTCTAGGTCTAGGGCTGGTTTGCTCTGTATATCACTGTATACCAAGGTCAGTGCAACGGCTGGCACACAAAGATGCTCAAAACATGTTTGTGGAATAAATCTGAGCTATTCTTTTTCTACTGCTCACATGTATCTACATAAATTTTCTTAAGTCTTTTAAGTAAGAATCATTTCTTTAAAACATTTCATTGCTTTTCTATTTTGTTTGATTCTTTTTTTTTTTTTTTTTTTTTTTTGAGACAGAGTCTTGCTCTTCTTGCCCAGGCTGGCGTGCAGTGGCGCGATCTTGGCTCACTGCAGCCTCCGCCTCCCACGTTCAAGCGATTCTCCTACCTCAGTCTCCCAAGTAGCCGGGATTACAGGCATGCGCCCCTGGGCCTGGCTAATTTTTTTTTTTTTTTTTTTTTTTTTGTATTTTTAGTAGAGATGGGGTTTCTCCATGGTGGCCAGGCTAATCTGGAACTCCCGACCTCGGGTGATCTGCCCACCTCAGCCTCCCAAAGTGCTGGGATTACAGGCGTGAGCCGCTGCACCTGGCCTATTTTGTTTGATTCTTAAACTATGACAGTCTTTTCTCGCATCCTCATCATTGTCAAAGTATAGGGTTTTGGCTCCACAATGTTTGGGGATCAAGAGCTGCCTCTTTGTTAGTCTACTAGTTCATTTGTTCATTCATTTGTGTGAACAGCCACGTGTTGGGTGCTTGGTATATGTCAGGCAAAAAAAAAAAAAAAAAAAAAGTAGATGCTGAAGATTCAAGAGGCTCTAAGAAATGTGTAGACATTTCTTGTCAATATCTTGTGCAAAGACAGTCTGCAAGATAGCTCTCCAAAAGCAACTTCCATTATCTCTGTTTAGCTGCATTTTTATAATTCTGAAAAACAGAAGAGCTAGGCTTGCTGTCAGTAGAAGCAGCTGTAGCTTCTTCAACAATTACAATCATGTCCATTGTAGATGATTCTGAGAGAGAAGGAGCCTCCCTGTTAAACCAAGTGTCGTTTTTCCCACACACACTGGTGTGCAGGTCTTTGGAGTGCTGAGTTTTGATGGATAACTTCTTACCAAGGTGCCATCTTGCTTGCCACCAAGATGCTTGTTAACAGGAATTTACTTTTCCTTAGCTCTGCAAACCCTCTCGAGGGTTACAGGGTTACAATACCATCGGTTGTAACTGAATTGTCCTATTAATCAAAGAAACAAAAACAATGACCTACTGTATGAGATCTGGCTATGAAAGAACCACTCCAATCCAAATTCTTTCTGAAGCTCTCTGAAACAGTGACAGTTTGTCCCTGAGTGGTTTTTATGTCAAGCAAAGAATGGCAGTGATCCATATTCTGTGACAATTCAACAGCCATTCACAGCTTAAGGGATGCTCTCAGATGTGTCTATCCCTTTGCTGCTGATAAACCTCTCCTTCCTCAAAGAAGGCTCGTTGGAAACAACATTCAGTTATGTAGACAGGTTGGCTATAGTTTCCACTTCACAGATGAGAACACAGAGGCGAGGAGAGGAGTCCGATGATTGGTCCAAAGCCACTCTGCTGTCAAGTAAGGAAGTTCAGCTGGAAACACAGGCCTCTGATTCC